CACGTGTGTGTGTGTGTCTGTGTGTCTCTTTGTGTGTATATACAATGTATGTATATGTATGTGTGTGTATAATTATATAATTTTATCAATACTTCTATACAGTTAAACATTAAAAGATGGGCAGCTATAGAAATAAATAAGTACATACATACATATATACATACATACTCAGTGCAGGTTATCAGTTAAGTGAATTTGAGAACAGTTCTTAAATAATGGTTTATTTAATGTTGACAAGGGCATTCCCCCCCCTCCCTAAATTTACTACTTAGTGAATGTGGCATTTACATATTAGGTGCACATAGGAATTAGCCTATGGGAGGAAATATTTCAGGATTTTCACAGTAGAGTCACAGCACCTCTGTCTGAAACACTCTTGCCTTATTTGAGTAATGCTCTGACATTTTTATGGCTAAAATGTGCTTTACTGTTTAGTTGTTTATATCTTACATATAACAAGACTTGACTAAATAATGACAAAAATAATAAATTCTCAATAACACTAGAGAGTCAAAGAAGTGGAATGAAAAAGCTATTAACCGATAAAAGAGACAGTAAATGAAATCTCAGCTTTGAAAAAGAAATAAGCATAAGAAAGTGATTCAGAATAACCCTACTTGGATATAAGAGAGAACAAACTGAAAATCTGGTAGACTTTCAAGAGTCTGTTATTATGCCCTACAACAATAAAATAGAATGCCAAAAGCATTTATTGTGTCTAATTCCTGATCTGGCCTACCTTGAAGGACTAACAGTAAGAGATTATTTTGATTAAATAATTATTTACAGGTTTCATTGAAATTGGTAATATGTTAACACCAATTTGCCAAACAAGTTAACAAAATATTTCCACCAGTTTGCTTGTTAAAGAAATGAAGTCAAGAGTAAAGTTATAATGACTTGAACATTCTATTTTTGTATTTAGAAGAGAATACATTAACTCTATATTTCCTGGTGGTTCAATGTGAGAAGGAAAAAAATAGGACTGACTATAAATAACAATCGCATATTATTGTACAATTTCTTACAGACTCTTGTCGTATTGGGACCGATTCAATAGCCTGTCCACATTCCTTACCATGTCTGTCCTGTATTAACTACAGAAGGAATGCACGCTGATTATTACAATGATACCATATATTATGATATCCACATAAACAATTCAGCATAACATGAATAAGGTTTTTGTCCTAAGCCAACACAGGTTATCTTAAACATTTTTTAAAAAAAGAGTAGGAACAGAAAGCAGTTTCTAAAACTTGTTTATTATATAGCAGGATTTATCATGCTTAGATTTTGGGTCCAAAATATCTAGAAACTTATCAGGCTGAACCAGGGGTGAGTAGGTAGTGATGGCAGCGGGCAGTTCGGAGAACCAGTAGCAAAAAACCCTGCCCCCATGCCCAGCTGAGCCACGCGATCATCAGAGCCTTTTTTTTCTTTTAAATGGCTCTGACCAGCCAAACTCTGACGATCCCAGCTGAGTTGCCTGCTAATTGGAAGCAAAAATCCCTCCCCCTCCCCCCCTCAGCTTGCTTACCTTAGCTGCTGGTCGCAACGCCTTGCTGTAATCCCTGCAATCCATTGCATCAGCAAGCAACTGAATCTCCCTGCCTGCAATCAAGCAGGCAGGGAGTTGTGGACTTCAACTCCCAAAGCTGGCTGAGGAATTCTAGGAGTTGAAGTCTACAAGTCTTAAAGTTGCCAAGGTTGGAGACCCCTGTTCTATTGGGTAAGTTTTTTTCCCCTTTAAAAAAATAGTTAATTGGGTTTTTTTTAGTTGTTCTTTTTTTAGACCTAGCCACTTAAAGTTTAGGAAGTTTTAAATTTAGCTGCTTTTATATAAAAATAAAAATAAATTAAAATAAAATAATATTTGTGCAGCTTTCTGAGATTTAGTGTGTTTCTGTAGTGTTTCACTCTAACTACACAAACATACAAAATCTCACAAAGCTGTATGTGGGATTTTGTGTGTGTGAAATATGAAAGTTGGTTTTTTGGGCTTTTTGTGTCTGTGTGAGGTTCCTGCTTGTTGCAGGGGCCATTTTGGGTCTAGCACAGCTGCTTTTATATTGTGTTGTGTTTTATATAGTTGTGTTGTGTTGTGTTTTGTAGGTTAAAAAAGGATAAAGAAGTGACATTGACTTGGTCACGCCCACCTGACCAACAAGCCACGCCCTCCCAGTCACCTTACCACCAAGCCCCAAACCCAGTGGTGGGTTCCTTCCGGTTCGGTCCAGTTCGGTCGAACCGGTAGCGGTGACGATATGATGTCACCGAACCGGTTCTCCCCCCCCCGCCCTCCCACCCCCACCCACATTATTCTTACCTTTTATTTTGTCCCACCCCCAATCTATTGCTGTCTCCTGAGTCCCAGCTGATGACTAGAGGGAAAAAAACTGTTTAAACTCTTGCCGCGGTGCTTCAAAGGGCCGTCCTACATGTGATCAGTGTTAAAAGCAAACAAATGAGTCGGGTCGTAAGTGCGAGGACTGGTCTTAAGTGTGAGGACTGGTCGTAACTCTGACCAGCTAGCCACGCCCACCTAGTCACATGACCTCCAAGCCACATCCACAAAATAAGCCACGTCCACAGAACCGGTAGTAAAAAAATTTAGAACCCACCCCTGGCCCCGTCCACTAATTAAGCCACGCCCACAGAACCGGTAGCAAAAAAATTTAGATTTCACCCCTGGGCTGAACCCAATGGCAGGGTCAAATGCATCGTCAGTTTGGAGCTACTATGCTCCCACAAGAGACTTAAATCCAATCCCACATGAATTCCAACTAATGATCCAGGCAAATTGGCACTAGATAACAGTCAATGGAATTCAATTTGCCTTGACCATTAGTAGATCAGATTCTTGTGTATAGGTAGCATGGAATAAACTTGCAGTACTTTTAACCTCTATTCTGGCTTCTGGTTTCAGGTGCCTGATAATATCTTCTCCATTAATTTCAATAATTTGGATGCTAGGGAGAAAACAAGATATTGATATAATTTAAAGAGAGAGTGGGGCGGAGAGAGAGAGAGAAAGAACAAGATATTGTACGAGTTTAAAGTCCTTTCCTGATCTCTTGGAAAGCAGTTTCATATATGATACAGTAACTATTAAAGCTTCTTTTAACTACAAAAGTGTCCTTTTCATTCTTTATCTTTTTAAATATTTGGGGCACTTTTCTTATCCCAGAAAGGAAACTCTTTGCAGTAAATTTTGCTTAATGACTTTTTAGTGTTATGATTAATAGGCGAAATATAGGCAGAATAAAATTGTACTGAAAAGGGATACATTTGGGGTTCCAGAGAAAAGAAGTGGAGAAAGTTCCACAATTAGCCCCTTTTTAAACTCTTCAGTTTTTGAGTTTATTTTAACACATCTGGAAAAAAAAAAACAACTGAGGTTCCAGCTGAAACTCTCGGAGCAGACTTTTTGAGATTACTCATTGGCAAAATACATATTTTTACCTTCCAGAGAGAACATACTATTTCTCACTGTAAATCAAGTCACAAAAGAACTCCATAATTTCTCACAATGGCCTTGATCATTCAGGATGAATTACACATGTATTTTTATAAGACTTTTCAATAGAAACTTTTCACACATTCAGAAAAGTAAAGAAACAATAATGATGAGGAATCACAGAAAACTCTTTCCTACTGTATTAGGAAGTTCCCCACCAGGGAACTCCATAAATCTAAGGCCTACAGCTTTGAAAGTTATAGAGGAAAATATATTTCCTCTCATACTTTCTACAGTATGAAAGGAAAAATTAAGAAAAAAGCAAATAACAATGAGAGGTGCTGCATTCATTCTCATAATGAAATAGCATGCTTTGGAAAATAATTGATTATTCTCATCTAACAACCAGAGTATGTACTTTAGTTGTACTGTTAAGTATACTCAATTGTGATCAATATGTGCAGATTAATAATAATATTATGAAGTGTTTGTACAATTTTTGTATCAGTTCTTGATATCAATATATCTGGATATATTATGTCTGAAAAACTTACACAATTGTAAGTTATCTGTTTGCATCTTTTCTTAAAGTAACTTCTTCCCATCATCTCATAACCACACTCTCTACTCCTCCACTTAAGCTTAAAGTTTTCCAAATTTCGTCCCAACTCTAAAGCACTTCATCCATGTGTTTTCCAACAACCCATTATTCTAGTTTTATGTACATTAATTCACTTGGCATACACTTCTAAGAAGCAAGAAAACGTTATCTATAGATCAACTTCCAGAATAGCGCCATTTTTATCCTTAGAACTATAGTTAGCTAGGTGCCACTGAGTCTGGGTGAATCCTCATTATTTTGTCTTTTTTCTAGGCATAAATGACAGCTCTTCCAAGGGCAATCCTGAAAGAATCTTTTATTGTTTAAACGTAAGATGTAGCAAGAAAACTGTACCACACTAATACAGAGTTAAAGGGAGTCCTTGGGCTTCAACCACTTGGTCAGCGACCATTCTAATTTGCTGCAATGCTGAACAAGGGGTACTTATGGCTGGTCCTCAAAGTTCCGGGTGTAACACCTTCCCTGTGGTCACCTGATCACTATTTCCAACATTTCCTGCTGGCTTCCCAAAAGGAAAGTCAATGGAGAAGCCAGCAAGAAGTCAGAGTCACATGAGGGCCTTGCTTAGTGAACTGAACTGTCCTAGCTTAATCACAGCAACTGGGACCACCATCACTAAGCAATGCATTGCACTTTACAACTACATCACTTAGTGACAGTAATTCTGGCTCCATTTGCTGTTGCAACCTGAGGACTACCTATATTTGGGAAGTATTCCTTCAATGCTCCTATTGGAGGAGTATAAGATATTAAAACATAATACATGCCGAACTAAACTTAGGAGAAGGTATGATGTTGCCTTTTGGTTCTTGTCTGATTTTGCCAGAGACAGGGATTTCTAAGAATCAATAGAAAAAGACATTAATGGTTCTAAAAATCTCCTAGGACCAAACAGAAAAAAGACATTCATTTGTGCACCTTCACTTGTGGCGGCATTCTTTTGAGTCTTGGTTGGAGTGTGATCTGTACTTGAACTCACGTCGGATGAGATGCTTGAGCTGCCTTTACCTGCAAAGAAAATATTGGAACATTAAAAAAAAAAACACCTTTATGATACTTTAGGTCACAAAGCTTTAATTATCATCTAATATCTGGTTTCCAAAATTAGATCATAAGGCCATTCTGGAAATCTAAAACAGAGAAGGAATAGGCTCTTAAGAGCCATAGCACAAAATTGTAATTGCTTTTATAAAACTTTATTAAAATTCCATGCATAAAATAAACATTAAAAAACACAACAGACAAAACATATATAGAAACATAAACCCACAAATATAAAAATAAAATAAAAAAATTATCGTCCACTTCTGCACTTCATCTTCCTCATAGATCCGTTAACCATATCTTATTCTTCTAGATTGTTGTAATCACTACATTTTCCACAATCTCAGCCACCTGTGTGACAAACTGATTTGCTGTGGAATTTCAAACCTAGCTTGTAGTACAATACAACATTTGAGCGTACGAAATTCAAGATTTTAAAAGAGTGAGATCACAAGAATCCAGATGGAAATAGCTCATTTATTAGCTCTAAAACATCATAGTGAGTTAAAGTTTTCATTGTCTTTTCTTATTTTAAACTGAAGGCAGCTAACCTGATGGGACAGGGAGTTCACAGAATGGGTGTTATAATAAAATTCTCTGTTTTAAAAAAGCAGAACATTAAAATGTTTTCCAAGAAATAGAGCTTTTGCTCCCCCTCCAAAAAAGAGTTGCCATCCTAACAGCACTGTGCAATATGGACAAGAAGGGTATGGGAAAAAATAAGAACTATGGGTTTTTTGTGAATCTCATTTCAAGTTTGAAAAACATTTCAGTTTTATGTAGGATATGTGCTTTAAGACAATATATTTCAAAAACATCTGATACAGCTTTCAGAAGAGGAGTTTGCAAGTTTTTTATCTAACTCTTATATACAACATTTGTCTTTTTTTAAAAAAAAATCTGCATTTTTCTATGACAATATATTGAAGGGTTTTTGCAAACCACAAAAAAAAATCATACAGAGAGAACAGACCATTTGCAGCAGCAAGATGTCAGAACAAATCATTGTGAAAGACCGATTCTTCAGGGAAGCTGGAGATGTAAGACCTATCTCACAACTGTTTGATGAGGTCCACCTCCTCCCTTCAACCAACTACATATGTAATCAACGGGGCTGCATGAAGATCCCAACAATGACTTCATAGTGAAGTTTATCATTTATTAATTTGATTTATTTCAAACATTTCTATACCACCCAATCCCATGATCCTGGGTGGGGTACAACAATAGAAATGATAGAAAATGGCATCAAAAGTGACTGTGTCAATTACCACTTGAAAGACCCAACAACACAATATATAACAAAACAATATACAACACTTTCTTCCAATATAACCTAGGTACCAAAAGCCTTCAAAAAAAAAAAAAAACAGCATCTTTTTAAATACTAGAAGAAAGGAGGACAGGACACCTCTGTAGATAATGTATTTCTGAGTTCAAGGATTACTTTAGAAACAGGAAAAGTATTTTCATTATCCAAGTCAGAAGGCTGTATTTGGGGAAAGAGGGTGAAAAGAGAGAGAGAGAGAGATTGGCCCGTATTGGGAGGCCTGACTGCTCAACCCCCACCTTTCATTTATTATGTAATCACCTTCCATTTATTGAAGCAATTTACATAGCCATTCATCTCACCAATAACAGAGTAACAGAGTTGGAAGGGACGTTGGAGGTACAACTCCCTGCTCAAGCAGGAAATCCTATAATATTTTATCCAATCTCTTCTGGAAAATCTCCAGTGTTGGAGCACCTACAACCTCTGGATTCTGGGCAGAGTACAAATATTAAAAGAAACAAAGACAATGGCACAGTTCATAAAAAATATTTTTAAAAACCCATATTATAATACATGCCTAGAGTTCCACTTCAAATGATTGAGACTGTAACCAAGCAACAGGGCTTGCTTAACCTCCTGGCCCTATGCCTGTCTTGATCCAAGTCTTGATCACCTTACAAAAGGCCAACAAGGTCAAGGCCATTTAGACCTTGGCAGATGGAGGGGGGAGGATAATTTTCCACAGGACAGGACAGTGACTCTGCATTGATAAGTGTAAGAAATTCTGTCGGCCAATACATTTTGTAAGAAATTCAGAAAGCAGATTAATGCTATTCAGCAATGTCTGTTACAAGCCGTGGTGATATATTTACAATGATGTCATTGCACAAATGATATGTATATGTAATGATACAATGTCTGATGCAAACACACAAATCATATCATTTGCATGATGGTGCCATTACACATCCTCATTTGCTTCCCTTGAAGTTGCCTCTGACATCAGCTACTGTATATTCCAGATCCCTTGGAAAAATGTCATCCTATTTCCTCTTGTTCTTAATCCAAATCAAAGTGACATAAGTAACATGAAACTAAGATGTAAGGTAACATAATACGATCTGTCTTCACATCAGGTCTAGTTGTAAATCTTGACTCTCCAGACACATAATCCCTCAGTCAGGAGACTATTTATTTAGCAGAAATTTCTCATATTTTTTTTTTATCATAGACAAGAATTAAGCAGACTTTAGTATACAGAAAAGTTCCCTCCCCCCTCAGACTACTATATGTTCCAGGTTTTGAATTTCATTTTTTCTTCCTGCTTTCTAAGCATCTGAGATACTTAGCCCTTCTCTTCATGCAAAGGTGATGAAGGCATCTGCTTTTTATCGATATAATTTTGCTTTTTGTTTTCTGAGACTGTTGGTTCCTGTCTTGCCAGTTTCATTCCTTACATTTAATATCCAGTTTTAGACATCATCATCATCATCACCAGCAGAAGTACCACTACGCACAAGGGAAAATGTACATAACCTTTACTGTATAGCTATAATGCTAGGATACCATTTTATATGCTGCCCAGCATATGTTTCTCATGAAACCCTCTGCTGAAAAAATACTGTAAACTATACTAAGTAAAAACATCCCACCCTTACTCTATGAGAACACCTGAAAAACAGATGGAAGCATTCTCTGAAGTCAAGACAAGGAAGAACTGTCTGGTGCCAGTCTCAGATAGATCCCTGATGCCTAATTTACACCTACTTAGAAGAAGAAGCTAAAAAAAAAGAAAAAGAGTGAGAAAGGAAGATGATTTTCCTTCTGCACTGCAGACCAAGATTTATTCTGCACAAGACGTAGAATTATATGCTCTGAAGGATTCTCTGCAATGGAAAATATAGTGTTTTGGCAGATGTATAGGTTTCTTTACAATGGCATTTTTTTTATGTTGGAAACTCACATATCCTATTTGTGAAGCGCCATCACTAAACACAATCACAGTAGTGCAGCTTGTAAGCCTGCTGGAATAGTTAAGCCATTTTAAACTTTGGCTTTATTGGTAAAAAAAATGAAGACTTTTTTAATTAGTGTGCAGAATTAAATCTCAAATATTTTTAAAACAGGAAGAATGTTTGCTTTTCAATTACTTAACTGTAGATGCAACAATTACCTTCCTGCTTGCCCTAAGCTCTTCTGTTGAGCTGGATAAAGGTAGGAATAAACAGAAGTTGACTTCTGAATGAAGGAATGAATTCAGTCTAGGTCTTGTCTGGTTCTCATGATGAACTGATCTTGTTTTTTCTTGTTTATTCTATTTCAATGTTTAATTCAATGTAATTTAGTTGTTTGCACCAAGCTTAAACTAATAGATCTTGGGCTGTTAGTAAAAAACAAAACATGGACCACACAAGTCTCACCTCAACTTACAGTAGATGAACTGTGACCTGAGATACATTTCTGCTTTAGATGATAGCATATACTATTTCACCTACTTTAAGCAGTGGCAAACCAAGCTCGCTTTGATGTCCTGATAAAAGCAATGAGATGAATAGAAAAAAATATTTTGTAGACTTGACATAGAAACCAAAGCAGCAAACATTTTTTAAAGAGTAATTAGAATGTAATTAAGCAACTAACATCAAGCCAGGCAACCAGGAGATCACTGTCAATCTAGGGTAAGACATCAATAATTAACACTTGGAGCTAAGCAGCTGGCAGGTCCATATATTTCATGAACACCTCTGGGAATGTGGATCAACTAAAAGGCAGTTTGTGAAACTGAAAAAGATAACACTACATACTGTATATGCAATAGAAGATGGATATGTAAATATATACATCAAAGCACTGCTTTGGAATAAAGATAAGATGCTTCCTAGATCTATCATAACTTTGTGATATGGATCTAAGCACTTCAGCCCTAAAGTTCTAAAACAAATCTTCATATTCTTTGGAGTCAAACCATCAACTGGCATATCTAAAAAGAAGGGCTCTCTTTAAAGTTAGACACTGGACTTCTTCCCTAATGCAAGGGACTTGATAAGTCTTGTAGACCTGTTTCCAAAAAAGGGAGCATCTAGATATGGGCTTAAATCAGGGGTGAAATGCTCCGGGTTCGGACCGGATCGCCCAATCCGGTAGCGATGGCGGCGGGTGGTTCAGGTAGCAAAAATCCCTGCCCCCCCATGCCCAGCTGAGCCGCGCAATCATCAGAGGCTTTTTTTTTAATTTTTAAAAGCATTTTTTCTACAACCTCTTTGGCTGAAAAAAGCAGTTTCCAACCTGATTCCTATTGCAAGTAGCATCACATTTACTGGCCCTTAGGTTTGTAAATAGCCACTTTCTACAGTCATTTAAATCATGAAGATTCATTATGGCCTATTAAGTTTCATTATCCTGTATCATAACTATACATTCTTTTCTATTGCAAATCATGAAATTAATTAATTCCAGATGATTACATATGGAAGCTCCTATAAATTGGAAGAAAACTAATTACTTGTTTCTTTCAAGCCATCAGTGCATCTTATCTAATTAATATACTTGAACTACAGTATATGTTGATACAGCATACAGGTAAATATTTTGTGGGTCAGACATCTGAGGAAACATATTTGCAAATTATTATAAATCAGTAGGTACCAATGTTTACAGCATAAATTAAAAGAAATATCTCCGCCCCTTGCCC